TTCCTTTCCTAGTAAAACCTCCGTGGAAACTCCACGAGCACTGCCTTTCCTTTCCAGCTGAAGGCCCAGCGTCCGTTTGCAAAGCTACTCTCTGGATCTCGTGAGTTGAGGACACGTGGAGAGCATCAGTTGACATCTGCAGCATTGTGTTGATATGTTTGCGTGTGTCCTGTTTCCCACATTGGGGAATAAATATTGGTCAGGGACTTCGAGGTCTTTCTAGCTCTCTAGCATGTGGCACAGAGAGTGTTTCCTGAATGGTCTGGCCAAGGCTAGGGATAGCATCTGTTGCTGGGGACGGTCACTAAGTGTGCCCTCCTATTATCAGAAATATTGGTCAACCAGCTTCTCTGATCAGGCAAGGTCATATACAGCAAGTAAAACAAGCCTAGAGATGACACCAGATTCAGTCCAGGGCTGGAAGTGAGCAATCTGACTGTGGAAGAAACCAAGACATGGTAAGTAGTGAATCACATTCTAAGAGAACAAGCAGTCAGGGGCCATTTAGCGTGGGAATAGGTGACCCTTTATGCTTCCACAGGCCTGAAGACTTCATCATGGGGCAGTACTTTTTATTTGTCAAGCACACTCATGTCCATGCACACATATATGTGTATAAAATATACTCTGGGTACCATTTAATCACTTTATTGCTATTAACTCATTTAATCTTCAATAGCCCTGTGAAGTAGGTACTGTAGTTATCTTCATTTTATGAATGAAAAAACTGAGGCATAGAGAGGTAACTTGATCAAGATCCCAGAGCCAGGAAGTTACAGAGCCAAGATTAGCACCCAGCCACATGACACAATAATTCATTATGATGACACTTAAATATTAGATCATTAAATATAAAATGTCCAATTTTGAATCAAAAGTGTAGTTTATTATATCTCAAATATGAAGCAGTACAACTAATCAAAGTATGCACCTAAACTATCAACACAGTTTTGCTATCTTAACAATAGTGTGTTTATTCTGGCAGCAAAGAATCCTGGAGAGCAAGTGGCGATGAAATCGCCAAAGGCGTTTCCCATAGCTTGTTGAGAATTGACTAGTTTTCCTTGCAATAAGTGGTCCAAAGCCCGGAAGAAGTGTTAGTCAGTTGGTGCAAGGTCTGGTGAATACAGTTGATGACACAGAGTTTCCAAGTCCGGTGTCTATAGTTTGAGCAGCGTTGTTTGTCATCATGTGGTTGAGCATTATCTTGCAAGAAGATTGGCCCATCTCTACTGAGCAGTCTCAGCTGCTTAATGACAACAGTCCTCATCATTTCATCTAACTGGTTGCAACAGACATCCGCTGTAATGGATTGACCAGATTTCATGAAGCTGCCTTGGATAATACCAGCACTGGACCACCAAATAGACACCATTAGCTTTACTTGATGAATATTCAGTTTTGGACTGTGTTTTGGCACTTTATCTTTATCCAACCATTGTGCCCAATGCTTGTGATTGTCAGAAAGAATCCATTTTTCATGAGTAGTGAGAGATATGGATCCTTTTTCAATCTTCTACATGTGGCTATCCAGTTTTTCCAGCACCATTTATTGAATAAGGATTCTTTTCCCCAGTGTATATTGCTGTCTACTTTGTCAAAGATCAGATGTCAGTATATGGATGGTTTTATATCTGGGTTCTCTGTTCTGTACCATTGGTCTATGTCTTTATTTTTGTGCCAGTAACATGCTATTTTGGTTACTATAGCCTTGTAGTATAGCTTAAAGTCTGGGAAAGTGATGCCTCCAGATTTGTTCCTTTTCCTTAGGGTTGCTTTGGCTATTCAGGCTCTTTTCTGGTTCCAAATGAAGCATAGAATTATTTTTTCTAGATCTATTAAAACTGACATTGGCATTTTGATAGGGATTACATTGAATCTGTAAATCACTTTGGGTAGTATGGACATTTAACAATGTTAATTCTGCCAATCCATGAGCATGACATGTTTTTCCATTTGTTTATATCATCTGCAATTTCCTTCCTCAGTGATTCATAGTTCTTTTTGCATAGATCTTTCACAAAAATTAATTCAAGATGGATAACAGACCTAAATCTAAGACATGAAACCATAAGAATTCAAGAAGAAAATGTTGGGAAAACTTGTCTGGGTGTTGGCCTAGGCAACGAATTTATGAAGAGGATCACAAGGGCAATCACAGCAACAACAAAAATAAATAAATGGGACTTCATTAAATTAAAAGACTTCTGCACAGCCAAGGAAATAATCAACAGAGCAAATTGACAACCTACAGAATGGGAGAAAATATTTGCTAATAACTAAAATCTATAAAGAACTCAAGCAAATTAGCAAGAAAAAAATCACACAACCCCATTAAAAAGTGGCCAAAAGACCCGAACAGAAGCTTTTCAAAAGAAGATAGACTAATGGCCAATAAACATATGATAAAATGCTCAAGGTCACTAATCATCAGAGAAATGCAAATCAAAACCACAATGAGATATCCCCTAACCCCAGTGAGAGAATGGTTTTTATCAAAAAGTCGAAAAACAATAGTTGTTGGTGTGGATGCAGAGAGGAACACTTACACACTGTTGGTGGGACTGCAAACTAGTGCAACCCCTATTAAAAATTGTATGAAGATTCCTCAAAGAACTAAAAGTAGACCTACCATTTGATCCAGCAATCCCACTACTAGGTATTTACAAAAAGGAAAAAGAGTCATTTTGTAAAAAGACACTTGCACTAGAATGTTTATTGCAGCGCAATTCGTAATCGCAAAGATGTGGAATCAACCCAAGTGTCCATCAATTCATGAGTGGATTAATAAAATGTGGTATATGTTATACCATGGAGTACTACTCAGCCATAAAAAATGAATTAATACCTTTCGCAACAATCTGGATGGAACTGGAGACCATCCTCCTAAGTGAAGTATCACAAGAATGGAAAAACAAAGCCCACATGTACTCACCATTAAATTGGAACTAGTGGATCAGCACTTATGTGCACAGATGGAAGCAAAACTCAATGGAATCGTGCAGGTAGGAGGGGGGAGGAGGCAGTGGGTGAAATCATACCTAACAGGTACAATGTACACTATTTGGTGATGCGCACACTACTGACTTTGACTCAAGCAGTACAAAAGTAATCAATGTAACCAAAACATTTACACCACTGTAATATTGTGAAAAAATAAAATAAAAAAGAATCCATTTTTCATCAGATGGAACAATAACGGTGTATAAATGGTTTGCCTTTATGTTATGACAGCAAAGTAGGGCATTTAACAGCAAAGAAGGGCACGCTTCAAGATAATTTCTCTTCTGGTGCTCATTTAATTCATGTGGAACCCATCTGTCCAGTTTCTTTACCTTGCTGACTTGTTTCAAATGGTCCAATATTGTTGGAATAGTAATGTCAATCCTTGCTGCTAATTCACACATAGGTTGAGATGGATTTGCTTCCAGTCCAGCTTTCAGGTCATCTTTATCCACCTGGTTGTCCACGTGGCTCATTTTCAAGATGAAAATGACCAGAATGGAACTTCTCCAACCATCGAAGTACTGTGCATTCATTAGCCACGTCCTTCCCAAACACTTTGTCGATATTTCAAGCTGTCTGTGCTGCATTGGTTCCACGACAGAACTCATATTAGAAAATAACACAAATTTTGACTTACCTATGGTTTTGCCAAACTTGCTCTAAAAAAATGTGAAAGATAATCACAAACCAAAACATGCATTTGGAAGACTGCGGATGTACCTTCACAATAAAAATAAAACAAGAAGTATCAAAGTGAAATGTCAGAGATAACAGCTGTCAAACCTGTACTTAAGGAAATCAGACATTTCATACTTAATAACATAATATTAGGATAATGTGAAATATTTTCAATATACAGATAATGTGACAAAGAAAACATGTAATACATTTGAGAAATAGTTATATGCAAAATTATTATTGCCTGTAAGTACTGGTACTTTTAGGAATAAATTCCAGTTATTTAGAAATTTCTGTTTTTAAAAGAATATTTTCACTCAAAATTAGAGCATTTAAAATGAAAAATTTCTACAGAAATGCTTTATTATGAAAAAAAGAATAAAAAGTAAATAAAATCAACAAAAAAATAAATAAAATGAAAAATTTGAAGGATGTAAATAATAACAGTAACACTTGATAAGGACTTTTTATAAAGCCCTTATCTATGACATTGAGAGTAAGTGCTTTTGTCCCGGCTGTCTGCCATGGATTATAGACCAAGAAAGCCACAGGTTTTGATCAAGACAACCTGGGTAGGTCAGATGTGGAGTCTTAAAGCCCAGTCCCAACTGTGTTTTCATACAGCCCTAGTGGAGAGAGGATAAAATATATTCAAAAGTAACCATTCTATATAGTCCTTAAGCCTATATAACCATTCTATAGTCTATTCTATATAGTCTATATATTCTATATAGTCCTTAACCTGTTTTGTTAGCAAATGAACCAAAAGCATCAGCCTTTCTTGTGCATTACACACATACCAAGCATAGTCCCAGATGTGTTAGACATATTTAAAGAATCCCTGTTTGTTGTTTTGTAATCCATTGTGGAGTGAATTAAAACTAAGACATCTCTGGATTATATGATCTTCCTTGGGAAAATCTTAAGTTCCAAACATGGGGCGGTAGCTGTAAAATATGAGCTGCTGAAATTTCATTCTTCCTGATGAGAAATTGGTCTCCTGAATGGATTGTTCATTTGGCAATTTCTTGGTCAAAGGCTGCGTCTTTTATATAGCTATTAAAGCATAAGTTCTTACCAATGTATAAAGTAAGGGCTTATTTGGAGCTTGGTGAAACTTTCATGCCTTGAGATACATATAGCCCATAAATCAGCCAAGATGTATTTATCACCTACCTATCTTGTGCCTAGTGGTCATTGATAAAGGCTGGATTCTCTTGCAAGGAGACATATACAGAGTGAAAACTGATTACAAGTCAGTGTTTCAGGCTCTGCTTTGAAGTTCTCATTCATGTATTCTTTTTTTTTCCTCCAAGGGTCGGGATTACTGTTCGGAAGAAGAGGATATCACATAGCACCGATTCTACCACACGAACCAGGAGCTACTACTGTGTAAATAGGTTACACCCCAGTTGAAATCTTTGCAAAGGTCGGTTCTCTTCAACAAACAGCACAGCAAAAAGAAGATCGTTCCATACCGTATGCCCCATTCAATTACAGTGTTTCTTAATGAACTTGCAAAGGAATATTGCTAAAAACAAAAAACTGTTATCGAACTTTCTTTGTTGCTGCTAGTTAAAACTTGTTGCAACTTTTCACTTCTCTCGTGTCCAGGTATGCAGCAAAATTCTGCAGTTTCACCTTAAAAGATACTGTTGGTTTTACAGATGCTCTCCAACCTATTTTCTATAAGATGAGGTAGTGGTGAACTCACATATCAAACTTCTCTTCTAGACCGGTTCTGCTTCTAAGACAAGCATCTCCTGCCCTCTCTCCTTCCTCCCCGTCTCTCCCAAGCAGTGCAGAGACGGCCTGAGCCTTGCTTCTCACTGGCAATGTTGAGCTTTGGAGATGGGATGGTTGCTATGGCAAGCCTTGGTTCTCTGCTTGGAAGAAGTAGAGAGGCTGTTAGCAATTAAAAGCATGTTGTGATATGACTCCCGGAAGTGACATAGGAGCAAGTGGCAGGTTGTTTCATTTAATAGGTATCTTAATCAAGGATTCAGCTTGCAACATTGGCTTTTGCTCAGATGCAGATGGAAGTGTGATCATAATCATTTTGAATCCCTCTTCCTCACTTTTTTTTCTAAGAAAATAAACATTTTACTGTTTTTATGTATCCTTGTCTTCTCCCATTCATCCAGCTCAGTGTTTTAAGATGATCCCTGGGTGTGGAGGTCGAGCCCTCCTTTGCAGCGACACTGATAATTGGCCTAACCGGCTCCCTCCCCTTCCACCAACAATCGACCAAACGTGAGCAGGGTCCTAAGTGGTCCCGAGAGGTGAAGGGACATCCCATGACTTTTTAGGAGGGCCTTGAAACCACCCTGTTACCTTTCATTTCATGAGCAAATAGACCATCTTATTTCGTAATCCTCCCCCTTCAAAATGCTCCACGAGCCTTGCCACTTCCTTTTTCTCTTACATCCAGCCCTGGATAATACCTGAGAAGTGTTTGGCTACTCGGAAGCATAGTGCATTTACACTGGTGATGATGTTTGGAGATGAGAAAGCCAAAACCCCTGGCAGTGGTGGGGAATGATGACTGTGTGTTCAGTAGAGTTTATTTTTCCATATTATATGAAGAGAATGATCTCTTCTCAAAGACAGAAGTAATATTTTTAACAAATATTGTCACAAGTAAATAGCAATCAAAAGGAGAAAATAACTTTTGTATTTTTTTAACGTGTTTGATAGCTTTGACGGGGGTTCTCTTTGTTACTTTCAGGGGAGGGCACCCTGTTAAATGCCATGCCAGCAGTCGGGGGCTGGGTTGGTCCCACGGAAACGCAGGAGCACTCACTGTGTGTGTCTCTCCTTTGTGGTTGTGAATCCGAAGGGCCTTGGTGTCAGCCACACTGCCACCCTGCAAAGGGTAGTTAAGATGTTCCCTGTGAATTTGTCCTTGCTGAGAAGATGAGCCCTGACTTTAAAACCTATCCACATAATTGATGTCACCACTGATGGGTTCATGGTGAGATTCCCTGTCTCCTTCTAGACCTGGGGCAGCAAACGCAAAGGGCAGGAAACTCAGTCAAGTGCTGCAGAAAATGGACTCAAATATTAGCAACAAAAATCCCTTAATTCTTTGAGCCAGCAGCAGCTATTTTGGGGAGCAGCTGTGGTTGTTACATAAATAGAGATGCAGCCAAAATTTTAGGCTTTTTATCCTGCTTGAAGCAGAAAAATGCAGGGGGAGTCAAGTCGCCTAGGGTTTTAGGTTCCCTCCCCTTCTATGGTTTTTGGCCAAGTGACCAAAATAGTTTTCCACAACTGTAAACGAACTGCTAAGCCCCACCTCAAACTTGGTCACTGGGAACTTTGTTCACTGTTTTAGGGATGACTTTTTCCAGCACTTCTTGTTCTTATCAAGCAGGAATGAGGCAAATGCTGAGCGTCTTCCATCTGATTCCTCTACTTGGTGTCTCAGACAGTGTCTTCCCGGAAAATCACCACCCTCCTACCGAACAGGAAACATGCTCATCCCGTGTTTCTCGCAGTCATGTTTAACATTTTGACATGTTCCACGTGTACATAGAACCAAGTGTTTCTTGGGAACCTGACTTTTGAGTGTTTAATAAAACCGGAAGTGTCGTTCCCATGAACTGGTAGCTCTTCACCTGGAGCTCTGTCTCCCGTGTTTAACCCTGGGTGCATTTTTGATGTGCACAAGTGACTTCATCTTCACACACATTTGGTACATCTAGAAATAGATCCGAAAAATGGGGTGGTTGAGTGGGTTGGCATGAAATGCTTGGTTATGTTAACAACACTCAAAACTCTGTTTTCCATTTGTTGGTTTTAATCATAAAATTGTCAAGTGATTTGTGTTTGTACTTTATCTTTTTTATACCTTCTGAAAGGATCTAAAGCAAAAATATTTTGCCTCCCCCCCCCCCCCGTGTATCTGAACATTAAGTAGATTGCCTCAGATTCAGTGAAAGAAATAATCCAATGTCCCTGCTGGTGGATCCTGCTAGTTATCTCTGCAGGGCTCAGGGAGGGGGAAGGAGGGGGGCAAGGAAGTGGCCTGGTGGGTAGAGGTAGGAAAAGAAAGAGAAGGACACTGAGAGCATTTAGCAGAGAGGGTTGATGGGCTGGCTGTGCCCAGGAGCAACTGGAAGTCCCGCTGCCTGGTGGCCGGTGGGCAGCACAAGGCCGTCAGCAGGATTTCCAGCTGAGCCACACACGCCTTATGTACTCTGAGCTGCAGAGTTGTAAAAGTCCGTCAGTGTGTGCCCAGCTTCCTTTTGGTTGGCAGAGATTCAGAATCATGGAGTGCTGTTCTCACAACTGAATACGTGTTTGTTACAGGCAGAGAGCCTTAAAAGAGAGAGGCTTTACCTTGGTGATGCCTCCTAGCCCCAGGCTTGAACCGTGAGCATGGAGTGGTCTATTTAGGGACACAGAAGGTACAAAGTGCAGAGATGAGAAAGCCAGGTCGGCCCTCAGACACAGCAGCAGCCACACGCACACAGCCTGCTGGGAGACAGGTCTGTCCCCGTCTACAGGGCCCGCGATCTGAGCCTGGGCTTTGATGACTCAGATAAGAAATGGCCTGACGCAGGAGTAGCCTTGGTTCTTACTCCCCTGCGCTGGCACCATCCTCACCACACTGTAAGACAAGGACACGCCTCTGTGTCAGGGGCTCAGGCAGCACTAGAAGCCACCAGGAGCCCCCTTCTCAGTCCCATCTGATGTCGTCCCACTTGGCGTTACAACTTTGTCCTCCTCCCGGCCTCATCCCTTTTTTCTCTTAGGGCCAGATTCTCCCATAAGCCTCCTAGAAACAGAGTCATACCTCCTATGAATTTTACCTCAGTAGCCTGTGACGCAGGTTGGCACATTGATTACGAGTCCTGCTTAGACTTTGGGCAAGAATTCAACAGAGTGTTCCATCTCTACTCATCTTTTTTTAAAAAATGGCAGAATATGTTGGTTTTTGTAGGAAGAAACATCTTCTTGGGTTCTTGGACTCTGATATGTTCTTTAAGGAAGGCTAAGCAATTGGTATCTAAGATCCTCTTCCTCTTCCTCTCACCTCCCCTGAGATTACACTCTGTGATTTTACATAAAATCTGCCTTCCACGCTCTGCCCCCTCGAGGGCACCCTCAAGAGCTTTATTTCTTTGTACCTCTCAGAAATTGGTCTTTTTGTTAAGTCGTTTAAAACCCCAGCAAATAAATAAATAAGGCATGGCGTGGGTCGGGGACAGGCACATTCTGGCATCACCAAAAGTTGGCGGGAGGCAGAAGCTTTGGCCTCTCGATGTCCCTGCGTGGAGCCTGGGGACAGTGGCTTTCCCACTGCAGATGTGGCAGTAGGAAACCTCCCGGAACCTCACAAATGAGGGCTGTGAGTCGCCTTTTGCCAGTGAATGGACATGTTTTTCAGCAGCCACTTTTCTGTATGTCTCTGGAAAGGGATGGAAAAGCTACGGTGCAAAACGGGGAGAGTGGGTGAATATATTTACCTTCGTGACAAACCTTGGGACTCGCAATCCATGCCATGTTTCTCAGGAGACCCTTGTACCTTTTCTGGGATGTAATCTAATCTTGGGAGAAGAGGAAAAAGGAGCAAATGTGTGTTATTTACACTCACTCTGTGCCAGAGACTGTGCTAGGCATTTTATAATTGTTTTGTGTAACCCTCACAACGATCCATGAAGTGGATTTATTGCCCCCATGTTCTAAGTGATACATGTTGAGTGTAGAATGCATCTAGCCACGTTGAAAGAAGGAAAAGTATCATTCAAGTATTTTCCAATGTTTTGTATCATGACTGCACCCTTTGCAACACTGTGAAAACAACCCCATGGGGGCCTCTGCCTTCCAGAATCTCTCTTTGGCTCATCTCCAGTTTGATTTCCTCCTGGGGAGCATTGTCCTGGCCTTCCCTGGCTGCACACACATTGTCCTGGCCTTCCCTGGCTGCACACACATTGTCCTGGCCTTCCCTGGCTGCACACACATTGTCCTGGCTGCACACAAGCCAGGAGAGGCTACTGGCTAGCAGGAGGACGCCAGTGCCCAGAAGGAAAAGGCTTTGGGAATTCAGGTGCGTCTCTCCTCCTGGAGCCCTCCCGGCATCTGGAAAAGGACCCTGGTACTTGTGCAGTTAGATGGCAGATGCAACTAGAACAGTCTTTTCTGAGTGCTATGATTTCTTTCCTGAGTTCCCAAGTCTTATAGATTCATCACAGGCTGCATCTTTTTAAGGTTAAAAGCCTTAACCTTCAGAGGGGCTTGGGAGAATCTGTTCTCCAACCAGGGAGGAAAGACAATGCCTGGACAGACCATTGGCTTGCGTTGCCATCCTTCTCGTGGGCTAGGTTTTGATGTCTCTTCTTGATCTCTGGGCTGGAGACCTGTATCTTCCAGGCTAGTTTAAGCACTGAAACTAGATGTGAATCTCTTTCAAGACCGTAACTATTTGAGTTAGCCATGTAATGACTTAGTTAGTCATTTAAATAACTTGGTCCAAAGTCAGAAGAGCCCAAGAACTCCCCAGAGTTCCTCTCATTGCATCTTAGGGCACATCCTCTAAAGCAAATGGCTCGTGTTTCCATAGAAATTGTGAAAGGTGCGGCCAGAAGGCACCCACCCCCACCCTTACTTAGCTTGAAAAAATCAAAAGAGCTCCTGTGTGTAAAGGGGGTGATGTGGCCAGTTTTCCTTTAAAATCTGTCCCCAAGATCCTGCTTCTTGCTAACCTGGCAGCTGTCATACTCCTCCAAGATGATGTGGGAAATGGTTCTTATCTCTTGGAAACCAGAAAAATTGCTTTTATGCAGGAGATTCACCTCAAAACTGAAAGCCCCATTCTGATATTTTCTGCCCTCTCTGCCCTGAATTCTCCCTTCTTCTCTTCCCAGAGGTTATTTTTAGCCCAAGGCTTTGAACTTGATTAAGACTTAGAGGCAGTAAAAAGAACATCCTAAACTCAGCCAGAGATGCCCTAGGGTCGCTAGGGTTGGAAATAACTTCAGAACCTGAGGGGGCCACGTGGCATTGACTCAGAGTGAGAGAATAACTGTGGGTTTCCTGGATTTTCAGTCCAGACCTTCAGGGACTGTTCTGTCTTGACAGGCAGATGAGCAAGGGGAGTTTTGTAATAGATTTCAAGCCAGCTTTTCTATCCAAAGCAAGATGCAAATTCATAAAAATCACTATCTCTTCTCCTGGACCAGAACCAGGCAGCTGCCTTATTAGGCATCTAAATTTGGATCCATTTTCTTAACACACACGCATGCAAAGATACGTAGATAAAGAAAATATACTTTATTGTTGAAATACTTCAAGAAAGAGCTGTGTTTTGCCTTTCAGTAATCTCAGATAATGTCTAGGAAAGTATTAGTATAACTGCAGAAATACCAAAACAGGAAGAACTAGTGATCACTCTTGCAAAAGTTTGAATTTGACTCCAACAAGAAGACTGAGTTCTGCTGGTGGGCTCACCTGCGCCCCCCTGAACCAGGATGCCCGCCCTGCTGCCTCTGTGTCACTCGCTGGGCCTGTAGCCTGGGTGCCCTGGCTGCACCCTTCCAGCCCCAAGCGCATAGAGGACACGTCCCTGAGGATGTGGGCCTGGGCCAGCTCCGTACGACACAGCCACAGCGTTCTCGCCCACTCTCCCTCTCATCCGTGTGGCCTTGACTCTGGCATTCCAGCAGCTCCCCTGGGACGCCCTGACAGCAGTGTGTGGAACTGGGAGTCCCTTCATGTAGGTTGACCCAGGTGTAGCATGTCTAGCATTGCCTGTACCAGTCTTGAGGACTCATTCATGGAGCAGATTATTTATGGAGCCCCTGGTACAGTCCAGGCACTGAGCTGATTGTCAGCAACTCACAACTGAACCAAACCAGCTCCCACCCTCAAGGACCTGTCGGTCCTGGGGGAGGAAGCGTGGAAGTGGCCCGGTAGAGAAAAGGACTGGGTGCTGTGAGAGCATCTCATGGTAGCAGCCGGCCCAGCTGGGGGAATCGGGCTGAAAGAGGTGACATCAAAGCCCAAGCTTGTCCAGGGACCGATGGGGAGCATTGCAAAGAGCCTTTCAGCCTGAGAGGACAGCATGGGACTCAGCCCAGAAGAGGGTCAGTGTGGGCCAGCCAGGGCCTGCGTGCAGTAGAGAGACTGGAGCAGTTGAGGAGGGAGGCAGGAAGAGCAAGGGATAGCGACAAGACAGTCAGCTGGGCCAGCCCCATATGGCTCCCAGGGCTGTGCTGGGGTTCAGAGCATAAATAAGAGGCTTAGGTGGTGCTCTACCCTCTGCCCCCCACTGCCAGGGGGGTGAGTAGTCGTGATCAGGGCCAGGGCTCCGCGCCTCGCTGTGGAAATGCACAGCTGCTTGCTGGCCTGGTTCATCCCAGCGGGTCCCCTGTCCCCACTCTGCCTGGACTCCTCCTGCTCTCGCCAACAGCGATTTGAATTCAGGGGCTTTAACCTGGGCTGGATCTGGTTTGGAGACATAAAGGGGACAGCTCTGGGTCATCCTGACCTGTCTTTAGAGCCACCAAGGGTAAAAATACCTCCTGGGACGAGGCTGGCCTAGACCCAGGGGTGAGAGCGCACCCTAAAATAAACGTACGGGAAGCAGCAGAGAGCTTCCCTGTGTAGTGTGTGATCCTGGCCACAGGCAGCTGTTCTTGGACAGCCTTCCCCTGGATTAGGGGTCCCATACACCTGGTGGCCACGCTTCTGCTAAGTCTCAAGTGCACGTCTGAGTCCTGCCAAAGAAAGGGGATATTTTTTAAAAATTTAAAAACACAGATGCACTGTGCGCAAATGGAAAATGCCCACAAGCCTAGACAGCTGGGGAGGGCCCGGTGGGGCCGGGGCTACCGGAGCTGGGAGCTCTGCAGGTGAGTCAGGGAGGCTCAGAGACCAGCAGCATCCCACAGTGGAGACAATTTGCAGTGCCTTTCAGGTTTTCCAAAGAACCTATTCAGAGTTCAGAGTATTGTGTTTTTTCTTTCTCCCCACCCACACCCCCAAAAAAATAATTAGAAAAATTTTCAGAGGAAGAAAAAGCATTAGATGCATCAAAATAGCAGCTGTAAACCAACATGGTTTCCAGAAGCTCAAGTAAAAGCTCAAACAGAAGACAGTTCCCCTGAGAGGTTGGAGGGATTGGGGGCTGAAGGCAGTTTTCCTAGCTGAGTGGCTCTGGCCCTCTGCCTGGGGATCCCAGATGGCCCCTGCCACTCCTTGGGGCTGACTTCTTTTGCAAGACCCTCACACTTGCCCTGCTAGGGGCAGCCCAGCATACAGCAACGCCAGCCTTCTGGACCCTTGGAAAGATCTTAGCTCAGACACTCACTCTTTTCCCAGATAGTCCTCTGGCTCTTGAACGAGGAATTTCTAATTCTGTGCCTAGTGGCTCCCACTTGAATATTCCACGGGCCTAGGTGTCTAGATCAGCATTTGGCCAGTGGCGATCCTGATGCTGGAAAATAACAGAACCTTTGGCCTCTAACTCACTCACTTTAAAATTAGAGCCCTGGAAGGACCCCTGGGGGCTGTGTGGTCATGGAAAAGAGGCCAAGTTGGCCTTAGGGCGCCCGCTCCCCATTTTCCGCCCTGGCCCACTCCCCACTCTTCTCCACCTCATTGCCAGGAAGGGATCGAAATGCCTCCAGCCAGTCGCCAATGTCTGCGTATTTGTTCTTCCCAAGGATATTTGCATTTGATTTAGGAACATGGCCTTATATTCAAAGAAAACCTAGTGGCAGGATTACAAGGCATAAGCTCTCAATCGGGTGCAGGAGGTGTCCTGGGGCATCGCTCTTCTGAACACCTGCGAAGGCTTCCTCAGGTGAGCCCGGCAGCCCAGAAGGGCGGCCTCCCCGACCACGCTGTCTGCACACGAACCCTGTAACGGGGTGGGCACCATCTGTCTCGGTCACACATGCCTGCCAGCACAACTTTGTGAGATGCACCCCCTGTATGTTTATTCATTTGTTTAAAGCATATAGTCCTTTACTTTTGTACTAACATGTTAGGCACATTATAAAAAGTACGCAGCATAGAAATTTTAAATGGATGAGATGCAAAATATTATAAACAGAGGTTCTGGCATTTTCTCTCAGAACCCCAGAGGGGGACCGTGAGTACCTCCTGGTAAGTGCGCACCCCACTTTGAACACCATTGCTTTAGTGCAAATCAGCGCACCCTACTGGCATCCCAAACCACTGTGCGGCCCTCCGCCTGCGGGAAGGCAGACTCCCCAGGAACTTCTAATCTGGGAGATGAGGCAAAAAAACACAAACTCACTAACAGCATAAATTTAAATGATTCGAAACCCTGATAGGAGAGCTGTCCCTAGACAGTAGTGGCTGCAGGTGCTCAGCAAAGCTCAGCATGCTGTGCAGAGCAGGGGTTGTTCATCCTCCCTCTCTGGGTCTCCAGGAAAGGACACTGGTGATGTCGCAGCTCTCTCCTGATTGGAATTCTTTGAACCCTCAAAGTGCTTCGGCAGTGCCGCTCCCCACAGCACCGTGGGCCCGTGTCGCTTGAATACTATTTTTGATTTGACCACCAAGATGTTAATGGTGATTCTGTTCCGTTTTGCAAAGGATCTGAGAAAGTGTACAGGTCTAATTATATATACATATTTATACATGTGTATTTTTGTTTATTGTTACATTTTGACATTGGACTTTCTATTAAATAATTTTTAACAGTTGGCCTGGCTTTGTTCTCTTTTTTTTTTTTTTTTTTTTTTTTTTTTTTTTTTTTTTGTCTTTCTTCTTTCCTGTATCCCAGGGAGGGAGACTGTTAATAAATGTCTGCAAAAGACCCTGCTGAGGTCCTTGTCCCTCCTCTCTTCTGCCTTCTTCCCCACTCCGCGTGCGTAAGGGCTTCTCCTTTCTATGCGCGTATGTTCTTCTGTTTTTAGAAGATATGTGCTATGTCAGGATCCTATTTGGAAGGAAGGTCCCCAACCTTGTTTTCGTCTCCTCCAACTGCCCCGTGCTGCCCCAGGGCACAAAAGTTGCGAATGGCACAAAAGTTGTGAGAACAGGCAATGGCACAAACTGCTGCCATGAACCTTTCCTCCTGCGCACGCCCGCCCCACGCACAGACGTGCGCATCTGCACGCACACGCGGTCCTCTCTGTGAGGGCTTGAACAAGTGACTTGACCTTTCTGAGCCTGAGCCAACTAGAAGCAAAAGTTTTCTCATGGGTCTGATTTGAGGGGATCCCTTAGTAAGTGCTGAATAAACAGCCGCCTGTCTCACAGACTCCTCTTTTTGCTTATTCACTCTACTCCTGCAGCCGGTGCATGTTCATTGCACAGGGAATGCTGGGCACTGGGGTCGCCACACCGGAAGTGAGGATGTAAGGAACTCCCGGCTCCAAAGTCAGAGGCCAGGCGGGCAGGACGGAGAAAGAGGCCTGGGCCTGACCGTCTCGCGTGCCCCACTCCGAGCTCTCTGAGTCTCTGGCACGTTTTGGAGGCTGAAAACAGTGGATTCTGCTCTGGCCTTCCAGGATTCACTGAAGAGAAACGCACACCCGTTCCCGGGGCGCTTGGTCAGAGCAGGAAGCCACAGACACTTTCCCCTCACTCTGCCTGCCCGGCCACCCTGTTCACCCCGGCCAGCTTCTGCCCTCCGCCCGTGACTGGGGGGCAGGCTGTCCTCACGACTTCCTAACTCCTAACGTGTGGCCAGAGGGAGGGAGGGAGGGTTCCGCCAGCCAGGGGAAGGAGCTGATAACTGTTCCCAGGCTTTTCCCTCCAAGCCGCAGAGCTGGAAGTGTGGATTTGCTGCTGAGTTTTACAAGCTGTCAGACGCGGCAGAAGTAAACCCTGGACCCAGGCTTGTTCTTTCAGAAACAACAAACCTGTTCCTCCCAGCACAGCCTCACTCGGAATCACAAAGGCCAGCCAAGCTCGAAAGGCTAACGGCGCCCGCCTCTCGCCACGTCTCGTTCATGCACGCACACGCGTGTGTGCACACGCTGCTCTCCCGAACCCCTGATTGACTTGGGGGCTGCCTCTAACCGCACGCCAAGGAGGAGCGGAGCCCCAGAGACCACCGGCCCCCGAGCTCCTGCCGGCGCGTCCGCTCCCGCTTCACTGGTAATAGCTGGACGGCAGCCCGTGGCCAGCTGCCTGGGCTGCCCTGCTTGCAGCAGGCAGTGGGAAGTGGGTGTGACGGGTGGGGGAGGGGAAGCCCAGTGCCACAGCGTGGGCGCGGTGGGTGGAGAGAGTGAGGGCGCGGACCACACAGAAGCCCAGGCGTGAGTGGCGTAGAAGCGCGGACTGGAGCTGGGATTGCTCCCGGGGTGGGGGGAGGGGGGCTTCTGCTCCCCGAGGGTCTCCCAGCCACCGTCACCCCTGCCACTCGCACTGCCCAAAGGCAGTGATCTGGTGGGGGAGATAAAGCTTTAGCGTCCTCACCCCACGTCATGGTACCAATCCAACCACCCCCTTTCCAGCAGAACTCGGCTCCCGGCCCCTGGCCTGCTCTCTGCCTGGTCCCCGCCCGACACTGCCACATTCGTTTGCCCGCACTGGCTCCAGCTGCCCCTCCCCAGGAAAGCCCTCCCCTCCCTACCCGCACCAGGAACGGAGCTTCCTTTGAAGTCCAGTTAAATCGGCCTCCTCACCCCACAGCCCAACCCAGGCCAGTCTCTCCTGCCAAAGAACATTCCCTCCAGAGGGGGCGGGTGTGGGGGAAGGCGGGGTAGGAGTCCCTGACAAGGCTTGAGCCAGGGAGAGTTCTGGAGTAAGACTCGGTCTCCAAGTGCAAGGTGGGGCCTGGAGACCGGCCGAGTCACACACTCCCTGACTCGCCAAGTGGGGACGGTGACCCCACTCGGGGCCCCGTCCAGGTGGGCGGCAGGTCCGGAGCTGAGCCGAGAGTGCAGTACTTGTGCGGAAGGACACAGAACCAGAATGCACATTATGAATAATGCTGTGGCATTATGTGCATAAAAAAAAAAAAAGGATAAATAAACTACTGAGGTCCATGTGTCAACGTGACTAAACCACAAACACAACAATACAGCAAATAGTGAATGAAAAATATGCAAAGGATACAGTGACACCACTTCCATAAAGTCTGAAGGCTTGCAAAACCATATCACATGCCATGCGTGTGGACACGCCGTGTTTAGTATGAAAACGTGCGTGGGGAAGAGGAACACCAATTCAGGAGAGCCGGGCAAGGGGCCAAATGGCACAGGTAAGGGCTAACAATGTTCTAGTCTTTTCAAAGATCAGCTGAAGCAAATATGGAGAAATAAAGCAGTTGCATATTTGGATGATACTCTCTCCACTCTCCTGTGTGCTTGTAATATTTTAGCATGTTTAAAGGGACGGAGAATGGTCTAGGAGCAACTCCACGTGGGTGTCTAAGTGCAGCTGGTTTCAGTTCAGGGACCGTAGTCAGCCACAGGGGAGAACAGTGACGCCATGCCAGGGAGCGACGTCACTCCCCTCAGAGCTCTGATGGCTTTTCAACTCTGTGCTTCGTCTCATATTTCTATGTCCTTGTCTCTAGTCTTCCCACATAGATGACAGATCCCCTGGAGTCCCCAGGCTGTGCCATCTTTTGCAGTCCCACAGCTCTGGTGAGCTGGGCATGGAAATGGACCTCGACTAATGCTCTGGGGTCAGATTCACCCATCTGTGTCCCGGATGAGGCTCTATCCAGTCTTCTTGGCTGTGTGGAAATGTGGCATAAAACGCCTGTCCACATGCCTGTCCCCCAGGGCTGCATGGCCCACCTGGACCCACACACACGGCCCCTCGGACTTGCCCACAACGGGAGTCCTCAGGGCAGAGCAGTCCCCAGAACTTGGCCAACGTGGACTGAGCAGCTGGCGTGACGTGGCACAGGGGGTCACACCTGCAAATGCATAAGAAGAATCACCCGGGGGATGTATTTATATAATACATGTGCACACACATATGCATGCTGACTCTCACATCCGACCCTTTGAGACATCTGATTTGCAACTTCCAGACTGAGTGATTCTGCCAGGTGCCAAGTTCGGGGAGCAGGGCCTGCAGTCTGGAAACCGCAGGAGGACGTGGGGAAGAGGCGAGAGCACCCTGCTGTCGAGGGAGGGATTCCGTAAGGCTCAGAGTTTCTCCGCCCAGTTCCAACACGCCAGGGGAGAGATGCCTGCCAGCAGCTCTCCTTCCAGAACTTGCTTCTCCAGGAGTGTCACGGCTCGAACAAACGGAATTAACTGTGGATAAATGCTAGGAGTGGGGGTAGGGGGTGAGAGTCTGCTCCCCCGCCCCCAAACAAATAAATAAATAAATAAATTTAGAAGAAGAAATAAATCTATTTAGAAGGTGCCACCTGGGCACAGCTGCGGGTTCCTCGGTGGTCTCTCTGGGGGTCTCCACCCGGATGGCCCCCGGGGAGCAGAATGGCCTGGGGAGCTGCTCAGAGCACCAGCGCCCAGACCTCGGGGCGGCTGAGTCCGAACCTCTGGGGCTGGGGCTGAGCACTGGCGTTTCCAATGTCCCCTCGGGTGACTGCAAAGGGAGAGGAGGGTTCAAGAACCCCTGGTCCACCCTGCCCGCCACTGAGCTGGGCACTAGCAAACACGGCTGAGCAGCCCCAGCCCTGTCCCCGAGGAGCTGCCAAATGTAGGGTGCAGGAGTGTGAACACACACTCCACGGGGCTGGGAGAGCCCAAGGCATGTGAGCGCCCAGGCTCTCGGTGGAATTTCAAGCACTGGATCCAACTGTTGCAGAGCTCTGGTCCTCTGGTCGTTGCTGTGCTGGGCACTTGGTCACTGACCTGACGCTGCGTCATCCTATCAGGGATGAGAGCCTCCCATGCAGGGAACACGGGGAAGATCCGGCAAAGAGCAGTCGTAAAGGACGATCCGCCACTGCCACCATCCTTCTCCCCAGGGGCAGCTGGGGGTGACGATGCTGGCAGGGGTGTCGCGGATTTCCCCAGAGCACTTTGTGTCAGCCGAAGATCCCCTGGACAGTTCCCGCGAGTCCCATCCCCGGCTGGGGACCACAGGGATGCAAGTCTCCCATGACCAGACCAGAATACAAATGGGGTTTAGATTTAAAGAGCGGGTCCGATGGCCCGAGATGGGAGGAATACATGAAGGAGAAACCCTTCCCAAGGCTCCCTCGCTCTGCAAGTGAAAATTCAAGTCACTAACAAGGCTCCGTCTGTTTTAGTTCCCAGCCCCTACTCCCAGGCTTTGCCCAAAAAAGGAAAAAGGGAAGCTTTAAATTAAGTCACCCTAAATCCTCTTTGATCCTCGCAATTATGCCTGGTATTTGTGTCTCTGCCAAGACAGTGGGACTCTGATGTCCCCTGCCCCCTCTGGCTCCTGCTACAGGCTACAGAGGGGCCCCAAACACCTCTCCCCCACCCCCCAACATGCAATTAGAAGGAAAAAGCTTGAAGAGCCGCCAAAATATAAACAGCATCTGTGCAGCATCTTAAGTGTTCCCTCCTGGAACCCTATTGATAACCCCTTATAAATAGGTGCTGATCACTTATTTTCATTTGGGGAAACTGAGTCTCAGAGAGATTGAGTAACTTGCCCAAGGTCACACAGCAGTAAACGGTAGAGCTGTGATGTTAACTCAGGTCCATCTGCCCTAGAGGCCTGGTCCATAATTCTTCCACTGCAGTGCCACTCACATATGTGCCGAGGGTCATCGTGCCATCGTCATCACA